CTGCTACAATCGGTTCAAAACCAATCCACCAGGTCTGTTCCTTAATTCATACCCGATAACCTGCCATTTCTGATATCTGATAAGTTGAAATATATAGTACCTGATTTGGTCGTGTTGGTCATGTGAATACAAGCCAATCAAATTGCGAATTTTAATGAAATAAGATTTATGCAATATGTAGATCAATATGTAATTGGACATGACCCGTTAAAAAGAATTCTAACTAATGCCAAAGAAAGTGATTAAAAGGCATACAAACTATATATAATTGCAAAGAAGCGTGACCTTCGTTTACATTACATAGCGCTTATTAATTAGTAAAAAAATTTTATTTTAAAGTTTTTTTATTTAATACCTTTTTTAGAGGATTCGTCAGTATAACTTTTTTTTTCTTTTTAATAGCCATCAAAAGTTTTCCATCCGTTTGACAAGTACTTTAACAAAGAAAAAAAAAAGAAAAAATATGATAAAACTAGAACCATTAAGTTCTAAAATATTGATCCAATTTGCTTTGAACTTGTTTCTCTGCTTTCACCTTTCTAACCTCCTCACGGATACAATTTTGTAGTTTGCGCAAGAATTTCAGTGTTACTCCACCATCATCAACCCTTTCATCAACAATTCTCAAGGCACCACGCAAGATATTCAATTGTTCTTCTCCGGTCAAGGGCAGCATTACAAATTCATCTTCGGCCTCTTCTATTTCCGTAGCACCATGGATCAGGTCTTCATCGGTAAATTGTTGGTGTATTTCCCTTTCCTCTTCAGGGTTTAGCAAGTCTTCAATTGGCATTGGATTACGAACTTGCAACATATTTATTTGTTGCTGAAGCTCCTTGATGATTAATTCATCATTTGGATCAACAGGTGGATTTTCTTCTATATCATTGGTGCCTTCAATGACAGTAGGGGGGATAATAGGTACTCCATTATCATCGCGTGAAGTTATAGTTTTGGTGCGTAACCAACAGCTCCTAATCGTTTTGGTGGATACTTCCTCCCAGGCAATCTTTATCCACTTCATAGCCTGAAATTAGCGATACAAGTTAGTATTAAATCGATTAGTTGGTTTAATTGTTACCAGTTATATTTTAACCGGATTTGTTAACCATATCATTTTTATTGATTAATTTGTTATTAATCAAACAGATTATGCCACTTTATTCAAATATTAGCATGGATAATATTGTTCTATTTGGAGACGCTCATATCAAAAGCAGAAGATAGGGCTAGTCCCATCACCTGCTTTTGCCATGGGCATCCTCACTAAAAATACAACCCTTTTAAAATTCAGTTAACCTTTTTTTTTTTTTTTAAAAAAAAAAAACCTTAATTCTAAACCCAATTCGACCTTTAAAAGAGATTCTCAAATTTTTGAAATTTTATACTAAAACAGGTCTAATTTTCAGCTTTAGCATAATG